TATATATTTTCACCAAAACCCCTATCCGTCCCTTCACATTCGGTCACCACAATCTAGCAGCAAATTGCAGAGAAGTGTAGTTTTTACAGTTAGCTGTTACTTGCCACACCTGATGGAAGTATTGCAACAGTGCCTGAATTCTGGAGCTAACAGGGGTCTGCAGTGCTCCATGAGTGCCATTTATTTTCTTGTTGTCTGTCAAGGCTTTTTTTCCCCCTTACTCTTTCTCTCTCTCCCTCTCTCTCGTACACACACACACGTTACTTTCGGTGTTAGTGTTTACACCAGAGGCACACAGGGAACCTGGACTGAGACATCCACTGGCTCAGTCGTCCATGAGGATAAGACTAACTGTTTAACGACGTATAAAAAAAAACAGCAGTGTCGGCCTTCAATAGCTCATCCCATGATAGTCTTACTTCTTCATAAAAAGAAAGCATCAGGACACAGGTTTAATGATTTTGATCATGTTAAAACTCTTTACGTTTTTTTTTCTGCTTGTAAAATAAAATCTTTTTTTTCCCCCCTGATGTGCACACCTCAGGTCAAACTCTCTTTCGGGACAAAGTCAAAACTTTTCAGCTCTTTTTTTCTCGCCCACCCCACTCCCCCCCCCCCCTCCCCCTCCCCCCCCCCCCAGCCCCCAAAAAAAGAAGTTTACTAAAGAAACGCATTTCGTTCTCACCGACCGACCGCGACCAACTTTTGTAGAGTTTTTTTTTAATCCACTCCCCCCCACCCCCCAAAATAAAATAAAATAAAATAAAATAAAAACGCAAAGAGTTGGAATGAAGCGTTCAGTTCAACGCGGAATAAAGAAAGCTTCGAGTAACAGTACGTAGGTGGTGAAGGTGAAGGCTGTGAGCGCTCCACTTACTCAAACATTATAAGACGCTTTTTTTTTTCTGCGCTGTGAACAAAGAGCGCTCTTACACCGACCAAAGAGTTAACATTTCCGCGGGTGGGGTTTGGGCATTGTAACGGGGGGTTGGATTGAGTGGGGGGTGTGGGGGGGGTGGGGGTGGGGGGTGGGGGGTGGGGGGGTAAGAGAGGAGGGGAAGGGAGGGAGAGAAAGAGAGTGGGAGGAGAAGAAGACGCTGTAATGCATAGACCCCCAATGTAAATGGCTTTTAACCAAAACAGAACCGACATCAAACAAACAAACAAACAAACAAACAAATACATTTTCTTTCAACACACACACACAGTGGGAGTCACGGGAGTACAGCGAAATTGCTACAACGTACGTCAATTTCACTGACTTAACAAGAAGTTTGATTTTGCCTTTGATGGAACTGGAAATCAAAGTTGCCCCAAAAAAAAAGGAGATGAATTATTAAGTGAGTGCGGGTCTCCCGAGCCCCCTGGAAACAAAACACTTAAAGTAAAAGTGTTTTCAAAGTTACAGATGAGTCACTAATCATCTGACTTGGGTTGTGACTGAAACTGACACTGCCTTTTGTTCGATTTTTCTCCCCTTCTTATTTCTTTCTTGCGTTTTTTTTTCTCCCCACGTCCCCCTCCTGCCTGATCACATCAAGTGATCACAAGGGCAGCATCTTTCTTTCTGCTCTCTCTCTCTACCCCTCTCTCTCTCCTCTCTCTCTCTCTCTCTCTCTTCACCCCCCCCCCCACCACCACCACCACCCCCCCCTCTCGAACACCCCAATACACCTTCAACCAACCTCCTTTCTTCCAATAAGTATAGCACTGATAACATTTTCAGATGCTGTTATCAGCAGACGCACAAGCAAAAGAAGTTTGACATCTTTTCCATGATCAGATCAGAGAGAGTGGTGGGGGGGTGGGGGGGTGGGGGTGTGGGGGGGAGGGAGAGACGAGAGAAAAGGGATAAGAGGGAAAACCTTCCAGACTAGTCAGCTATGATAAATAAACAAGGAGATTCCCAAGAGAGAGGGGTAAAGCACTGGGGATAATACGCGTGACGCGAGAGAGCTTTTGAACCCCCTTCGCTATACCTCATCGCCTACCTGCAACTCGTACAACTGCCCAAGAGAGACACAGAGGGGATGGAGCCAGGGGGGGGGGGGGGAGGGGAGGGGGGGGGGGGGGGGGGTGAAACGAGGAGAAGGAGAGAGAAAAATATAAACGGAATCGAATCAAATCAAGCGAAATAAATGCAAGGAGGTGGGGGTGGTGGGGGGTGGGGGGGGGAGGGGGTGGGGGGAGGGAAGTAAACTTGGAAGAGTCCCGTTGGATAGATAGATCGAAGCAACGGTCCTCGAGATAGATAATGATAAAAAGGGATCCTTTCTTTATTTATGTTTTCCTTCTTTCTCTCTCTCTCTCTCTCTCTCTGTCAAATTGGCTTCTAATCCGTTTTGAGCAACACACAAGGAAGAGAGAGGATGGTGTGTGTGTGTTGGGGGGGGGGGGGGGATGGGGGAGGGTTTATACCCTGAAAAAAGGGGGCAGGGGGTTAACTTTCTTGTATCTTACGCTCCTATTAGGAACACGTTTTTTTGGACTAGTTGCGAAAGGAAGACAGACAGAAGGAGAAAGAGAGAGAAGAGAGAGAGGAGAGAGAAAAAAGAGTGATCGACCACAGGCGTAGAGATAGAAAAGAAGGAGGGAAGGAAGGAGGGAGGGAGAGGGAGGGAGGGATAAATCAATAAGTTTAATTTGCTAAGGAGGGGGGGAATAGGGCGAGTTTCACACGCAGACAACGTTTAACACCAGCCTTGATAATATTCTCTGTCCTTGCGCTTGTTTCAGTCGCTCCTTTAAATAGATTGCTCTCTCTTTCTCTCTCTCACTCTCACACACTCTCTCCATCTCTCTCTCACTCTCTCTCTCTCTCTATCTCTGCTATTGTCAGCATCACTATTTACTTACTAATGGCTCAAACCCTATCGAGGGGGTCAACGATACGCACAAACACACAGAAATAACATGAAATAATATGAAATAATGTCACATTAAAACGTAGAGGCGACGGAATAATAACGATCTGATCCTGTGCTAGTCCACAGGGGGGGAAAAAGGGGGAAAACACAGGAATACTAACGCCACAACAAAGTGCGATCTCTTTTAAACATATATATATATATAATACACATATAATACCGACGCATCAAAAAAATTAGAGAGACTGAGCGTAAGAACAGGAGAGTAACAGCAGAAATACTTTTTTTCCCTTCCCATTCCCCTTATTATTCACTCCCCGTATCACCAGAGCAGATTGTCCACAAAACACATGTAAATAAAAGCAACAGAAAGAGAGAGGGGAAATAGACAGAGAGAGAGAGATAGACAGAGAGAGAGAGAGAGAGAGAGAGAGGGATAGAGAAATAGAGAGAGACAGAGAAATAGACAGAAAGAGAGACAGAGGGACAGAGAAATAGACAGAGAAATAGAGAGAGAGGGGCAGAGAAATAGAGAGAGAGAGGGGCAGAGAAATAGAGGGGGACAGAGAAATAGAGAGAGACAGAAATAGAGAGAGAGAGGGACAGAGAAATAGAGAGAGAGAGAGAGAGACAGAAATGGAGAGAGGGACAGAGAAATAGTGAGAGAGTGAGAGAGACAGAAATAGAGAGAGAGGGACAGAGAAATAGAGAGAGAGAGACAGAAATAGAGAGAGAGAGGGACAGAGAAATAGAAAGAGAGACAGAAATAGAGAGAGAGAGACTGAGAAATAGAGAGACACAGAGAAATAGACAGAAAGAGAGACAGAGGGACAGAGAAATAGACAGAGAGACAGAAATAGACAGAGAGAGGGGGACAGAGAAAGATGGATATATATATATATATTTCTCTTGTCCCCCCCAAAAAAAAACTGATCCGATCGTGTTTTCTCTCTCTTTCTCTCTTTCTCTCTCTCCCACAGATACAATCGCCAATACATATCTGGGTGTTTTGATGCCCCCACGAAAAAAAAAGTTAGGATCATCCTCGAGAAAGAAGAGAGCGCACGAGAGAGAGAGAGAGAGAGCGAGAGAGAGTGAGAGTGAGAGAGAGTGAGTGAGTGTGTGAGTGAGTGAAAGAGAAATCGAGATCGGGCACCAAAGTCCCACAAAGACATGATAAAATATTTCCTTTTTCACGTTCCCCCTCTCCACCCCCTCCTAACCCCCCAAACCCCCCAACACACACACACACACCCCACAAAATATAAGGTGTGTTCCTTACCCTGACATTGGGGGAGGGAGGGATGGAGGGAGGGATGGAGGGAGGAGGAGAAGAAGAAGAAGAAGAAGAAGAGGTTTAAAGTGCTTTAAAGTGGGGGAGAGGGAGAGAGAGAGAGAGAGAGAAAAGAGGGGTTTGGACGAAGAAGGGGCAAAAAAGAGTGTTTTTTTTGGGGGGGAAACAGAGAGAGAGAAAAAGAGAAACGAAACTGATCGCTTTCCACAAGAAACAAAGGCGAAGCGATAACGGTTTCTCTCTGAGAGCAAATACAGGGATTAACCGGAGAGGAGAGTAACTTAGAGAGACTTTCACTCAGGAGGTGTTTTGTGTGTGTGTTTTGTTTGGGGGTTGTGTGTGTGTGTGTGTGTGGGGGGGGGGGGGTGGGGGGCAAAGAGAAGGGGAATGGGTGCAAAATGCTTCTCTCTCTCTATTTATCTCTCTATCTCTTTCTATCTCTCTCTTACTCCCTCCTTCTCTCTCTCTCTCTCTCTCTCTCTGTCTGTCTCTCTCCCTCTCTTTCCTTTCCTTCCTTCTCCCCATTCCCAAAGTCAATCAACATGTACACAAACAAGAGGGTGTCCCCCCCCCTCCCAACACCCCCCAACACCCCCCCCCCAAAAAAAACCCCACACACACACACACACGACGACAGGATCTGCCTCTGGTCTCTGGTGTGAATCTGAAGCGAACTTTGTGTTGGAAAGAGAGAGAGAGGAGGTGTGAGAGAGAGGAGAGGAGAGATGAGAGAAGAGGAGAAGAAACAAATAAAAAAGGAAAAGAGAGAGAGAGAAAGAGGAAGGGGGGGAGAGGGAGGGGGGGGGTGTTGCTGGGGGGTAAAAGGTGCTCTCTCCTACCGTTTTTCCTCCTGGGGTTCGCCTGTTTTCGCCTCTTACACCTCGGGCCCTCCGCCATGATCTCTTGCTTCATTGATAAGAACTGATCAGATTCCAGGACAAGGCATCGACTCGTCTCCTCACTCCTCTCACGACGCTTTAACGGTCCTTCAAACCACTACACACTACACACACACACACTACACACACACTACACACCACACCCACCACCACCACCACACACACCACCACCACACACACAGAGCAAAGAGATTGCATTACAAACACACACCGACAATGTGTTTTACGGTACTCATTTAAATACTGCCCGCGAAATAAATACACCAACACCAACACACACTCCAACACCGAGAGAGAGAGAGAGAGAGAGAGAGAGAGAGGGCGGACTGACTGACTGACTGACTGACTACACACTGGGGCTGATCTTTGCCATTCACACATCACACAGTCAAGCGACCAGACTCCAACACACACACACAGACACACACACAGAGACACAGACAGAGAGACACAGACACACACACACACAGACAGAGAGACACACACACAGACACAGACAGACAGAGAGACACACACACAGACACAGACAGACAGACAGACAGACAGAGAGACACACACACAGACACAGACAGACAGACAGAGAGACACACACACACAGACACACAGAGACACACACACAGACAGAGACACACACACACACAGAGACACACACACAGACAGAGACACACACACACAGAGACACACACACACACAGAGACACACACACAGATGCACACACAGAGACACACACACAGATACAGACACACACACAGATACAGACACAGAGACACACACACAGAGAAAGAGCGCACTTTCCTAAGTGCGCATCGCAACTCTCTTTTGCACTGACTTTTATTGCAGGTCCGAAATCGTGGTCTTTTAACACAGCACAAACCAGAGGGAGTCAACTGTGGCTGTGAGTGTGTGAGTGAGTGAGTGTGAGAGAGAGAGAGAGAGAGAGAGGGAGAGAGAGGGAGTGAAGGGGAGACAGAGACAGAGAGAAAGTGGAGAATACCCCCAAAAAAAGACCAGAGGTGATCAAACAGACAAATGTGATCCCTTTGGGGACAGGGTGGGGATGGGATGGGGAGGGGGGGGTTTATGTGTCTGCAAATGAGCTTTTTCTAATATATATGTGTGTGTATATATATCTATATACGTGGATTTCCCCCCCCCAAAAAAATAAAGGTGATTTCAAGTTTTTTTTCCCTTTAAAGCTGTATATCTTTTAGCTCTTTCTGATTGTATGTGTGTGTGTGTGTGGAGAGAGGGAGAGAGACAGACAGAGAGAGACAGAGAGAGACAGACAGAAAGGACAAGTAAAATCGTTGCACAAGGTGTGAGTGGGGAGTGGGGAGCAAAACAAAATGTTAAAGGCAATGATTTTTTTTCTTTGCAAAAGTGGTGGGAAAAGGTGGGGAGTGGGAACCCACCCACCCCCCACCCCTGGCTTTTTGGTGGCTGGACTTCACAAATGTTGTTTTTTTAAAAATAATAATAATAATAATAATAACATTGTTTATTCGATGTGACTGTAGGAAATGTGCAATGAATGGCTGGGAGTGAGGGAGGTGATGAAAGAAGGAAGAAGTAACGGTACAGTGCTACCAATCTCTCTCTCTCTCTCTCACTCACTCTCTCACTCACTCACTCACTCACTCACTCACTGTTCTGGGAAACCTGACTCTTGTGTATTTTTTTATTTTTTAATAAAAAAAAACGCCCTTTTCTCAGCCTCTACACTTTTCTTTTTTTAAAAAAAAAACTTTTTTTGAAATGAAAAAAGGTTTTATTTACACATTACACCAGAATGATCTCTCTCTCTCCCACCTCTCCCCCCACCCCCCACTCCCTCTATAAACACACATACATTTCTTATCTCCCCAGTATGTGGGTGTGTGTATGTATATATTTGGGGGGTTGTGTGTGTGTATGGGGGGGGGGGGGGGTTGGGGTGGAAAATACCTTTTTTTTTGCAATCTGGGGAAAGTGTGTATAACATTTTGTTACACGTGTGTCAAGGGATTTCCCCCCACACATACTCCCTCCCTCCCTCCCTCCCCAATTCACACACATTCATATACATTTCTGTGAAGGAAAAGAAAGAGAGAAATAGAGAGAGAGAGAGAGAGAGAAAAGAGAGGGGTTTGAGGTGGATGCCAATGATGTTAAAGTGTTTGCAGGGATCGAGTGATTCCTTGAAAGGGATTTTTTTTCTGTTGTTGTTGTGATGTTTTTGTTGTGAAATCCAAACTGAAACGAAACTGACTTCAGGGGCTGTGGGTCAGACAGGTATTGGGGGTAAAAAGGATCGGATCGGATAGACAGACAGATCGATACAGAGAGAGATAGATACACACATACAGAGATCGATCGATAGATAAATAGATATAGATAGACAGATCGATAGATCGATAGATCTGATCAGCGCTCACGAGTGCAACATTAGCTGAGTTTATCGATCAGCTGTTTTTTTGGGGGGTTCTTAAACGTGTGCGTTCACATATATATCTAATTAAATTAAAGATAAAATCATACAACAAAACCAGACTGGAAACAAACACAAATACACCCACACACACTCTCTCTCTCTCTCTCTCTCTCTCACACACACAGTCACACACACACACACATATATATATATACAGATATATCAATAAAATATGCCACAAAAGCGCTTTTCGCTACAACGTTCGAGCAAAACTCCGTGGAGTTCGCTAAAAAAAAAACCCCCTCTTATATAAATAATGAAGTCACTCGGCATCAGGCGATGGGTTGAGTGAGACATGTCACTGCTGAGGGCAAAAACAAGTGCCATCGGTGGGGGATCGAGGACGCAGAGAAAAAACAGTCACCACTTTCTGTTTGAGTTGCAGGGAAATGTGAGTGAGTGAGTGAGTGTGTGAGTGAGTGAGTGAGTGTGTGAGTGAGTGTGTGAGTGAGTGAGTGAGTGAGTGTGTGAGTGAGTGTGTGTGTGAGTGTGAGTGTGTGTGTGTGTGTGAGTGAGTGTGTGTGTGTGTGAGTGTGTGTTTGGGGGACAATTTGCACTACAACCTCCTACACAATGAATCACACTCTCTAACGTGATCCGCTTTAAGTCCTTCCTCCCCTTTCGAAAAAAAATTTTTTCCCCCAAAAAACTTGTCTTAACTATTTATTTTTTGACCTTTAACCAAACTTTCACTTTTACGATTACCGTTCATCAACTCTCCCCTCCTCTCCTCTCTCTTCTTTCTCACTCACTCTCTCTCTCTCTCTCACACTCACTCACTCTCTCTATCTCTAGTGGGTGGGGGTGGGATGGTGGGGGGGGGGAGGCTTTTTAACACGAAAAGTAAGCAAATACGAGTTGTGGGGGGAACAAAAAACTACCCGAAACCTTAATAATAACAACAAATCCGTTTGGAACAAATTGGGCATTTGGTGCATTTAATGTACATTTCCATTAAAGTGCTGTCGCCCAAATGGACTGAACGATTGTATCTGTTTTATTTATTGACACCGAAGAGAAACACTTCTACGATCAGATCGATCGTGAAAAATCCCTCGAAATGTCCTTTTTTTCACATATATATATATATGAAAAAACCCCAATCGCAAGTGCAGAAACCGATCGAAAAAAAAATACACACTCTCGCAAACTGGGCAATTTCACTGAAAATCACCCAATTTCTTACTCCACTAACAACACACAACACACACACACCACCAACAACACACAACACACACACACACAGACACACACTCACACACACAGAAAAGGCGACAAACCACTGGTAAAAAAAAAGCACTCGGAAAAGAGACCCAGAAACCAAACTATTTGTCCCAATTTGCATCACGAGGATTATTTTTTTTGGGGAGGGGAGGAAAAGCAATTTTTCGATCCCACGATCAAACACCTTCCAAACACCTGACTGGACAGGTAGAAACTTTGCTCACCCCCCAAAAAAAAATTAAAATTTTTTTTTTTTTTGCAAAAGAGAGACAGACAGAGACAGAGACAGACAGACACAGAGAGACAGACAGTGGCTCGAATCACAGTGAGAGAAACAAGATGGGGAGTGAAATTCATCAAAGTTATTTTCTTGTGCAAACACACAGAGAGAGAGAGACACACACACACACACACACACAGAGAGAGAGATACCTGCACTCAACCCTTCTCACCCCACATTGCAAAACATTACCAATTAATACATCCCAACACACACACACACACATACACATATAAATATAAATATATATACACATCTTCCACAACATAAATACAACGTGCACATAAATATAAATACCTGTTCTGTCCTGGTTGCGTTGCTTTTTTTTTGTAAAAAGATATCTATCATATATCTCTCTCTCTTCTCCCTCTCCTCTCCTCTCTCTCTCTCTCACTGCATATATGTGTGTAAAAGAAAAGTAAGACTGATAGGAAGGAACACCGTGGAGATGAAGAGTGGAGCAGAAAAGGATGAGAAGAAGATGAGAGAGAGAGAGGTGGAGAGAGAGAGAGAGAGAGAGGGAGGGAGGGGGGGGGTTTGGGTGGGGGAGTGGAGTGGGGGGGGGGAGTGGAGTGGTAAAGAGAGAGTGAGTGAGTGAAAAAAAACAAGAGGGAAAAGGGGGTTTGGGGCAGAAATAATAATAATAATTGACTTTTTCTCTTTTTTTGGGGGGGGGGGTGGAAAGGAGGGGAGAAGCCCTGTTATAGAGAGAGAGAGGGGGGGGGGAGAGAGAGAGAGAGAGAGAGAGAGAGAGGGGGAGGGAGAGAGAGGGGGGAGTTGGTGGTGGGGGGGGAGAGAGAGAGAGAGAGGAGGGGGGAGAGAGAGAGAGAGAGGAGGGGGGGAGAGAGAGAGAGAGAGAGAGGAGAGGGGGGGAGAGAGAGAGAGTGGAGAGAGAGGAGGGGGGAAAGAGAGAGAGGGGGGAGTGGTGGTGGGGGGGGGAGAGAGAGAGAGAGAGGGGGGAGAGAGAGAGAGAGAGGGGGGAGTTGGTGGTGGTGGGACAGAGAGACAGAGAGAAGGAGAAAGAGTGAGAGAGACAGAGAGAGGAGAGAGAGAGAAAAAGAGAGTATGGTGCAATTTCAATATTACGTCTGATAAGAGAGAGAGAGATGGGGTTGGGGGGGGTTCAGAGGCAGCCCCCCCCCCCCCCCCCTCTCTCTCTCTCTCTCTCTCCCCCTCTCCCTCCCTCCCTCTTTGATCCTCTCTCATGATCCAAACGAATTGAATAGTAGGTAATTTAATCCAGATATTGCAGAGGGGGAGAGAGAGAGAAGAGAGAGAGAGGAGTGAGAGAAAGAGTGAGAGAGAGGAGAGAGGAGTGAGAGAAGAGAGAGGGAGAGAAGAGAAGAGAGGAGTGAGAGAGAGGAGAGGGAGAGAGAAGAGAGGGAGAGGAGTGAGAGAAGAGGGAGAGAGAAGAGAGGGAGAGGAGTGAGAGAGAGGAGAGGGGGAGAGAAGAGAGGGAGAGGAGTGAGAGAGGAGTGAGAGAGAGGAGAGGGAGAGGAGTGAGAGAGAGAAGAGAGAGGGAGAGTGAGGGAGAGGAGTGAGAGAGAGAAGAGAGAGAGAGTGAGAGAGAAGAGAGAGAGAGTGAGAGAGAGAAGAGAGGGAGAGAGAAGAAGAAAAAAACACACACACACACATGCAACACATACATCTACACACACAGATAGTTTTTGGGGGTGATGGTGATGATGGTGAGAGGGGGTGGGGGGTGATGGTGAGAGGGTGGGGGGGGTGATGGTGGGAGGGTGAGGGGGGGGTGATGGTGAGAGGGGTGATGGTGGGGGTGATGGTGGGGGGTGAGGGGGTGAGGTGAGAGAGTGGGTGGGTGGGGGGTGATGGTGAGAGGGTGAGGGGGTGATGGTGGGAGGGTGGGGGGGTGAGGGGGGGTGATGGTGAGAGTGGGGGGTGATGGTGAGAGTGGGGGGGTGATGGTGAGAGTGGGGGGGTGATGGTGAGGGGGT